TACTATGAATTATATTTTGCTACTATGAATTATATTTTGCTACTATGCTCAGACGCTGTGCGGACCATGCCAACAGGTACCAGGAGAGGCGGGAGGCAGCAGGCGCCGGGCTTAACGCGAGGGGTGCGGTGCTGAGCAACGCAGTGCTGCCGTTGGAGGGGCTGGAGGTGCGTGCACCTCCACGGAACTGAGACAGCTTTGCTTCTATCTGTTGGTCCTTACTGGGATAAATGGAAACTTCAAACCGTTCAGTTTCAAAGCTTTCTCTCAATTCAGCCCTGCTCAAATCTGAAGTGGGTGTTTTCGTCAGAGGATGGCTGTCTGTGTGAGTGAGGCTGGCAGGCAGGGCGATGCTCCCAGGCCTGGTGGCTCAGATGAAGCAGCTGGCAGTGTGTGGTTGGTTTCTGTGCTGTGCTGTATCACATTCTATAAACTCATGGAAATGAATCCTTGGTGATGATGGCTAGGTAATGATCAATACAGGTGAAACTTCAGAGTCCAGTTCCTGACTTAGTGTTCCTGTATCAAGAAAGCTCACTGTCAGGTGTATTTCCTCATCTGATGATCATCCCCATTATCGCACTGGTCTCTTGCCTGTATGGTCTGTCTCAGCATACATACAGCTCAGAATATGGGTTGTCTGCATAATAATACATCTTCACAGTATGTGCAAAATGCATGGCATGCTTACTTGCTTTTAGATCATAAAGCATTCAGTGTTTGTGATAAGTATGTCCAGTAGGCAAAACTAGATTAAAATTATTAGTTTTATGTGTTGGGCTCCGTAGTGGACTCTAATTACATTCTTCGAACGTGAAATTTGAGGAATGTGAATTTAACGAAGGATTTCAGATGGCAGTTTCAGTTTTGTTTTATATGGCCTAGACAGCAAGCTGTCTGAATAAATTCTGGAAACTGGATGAGTGCTTATGTAATGCTTCAGGAACTGGTGTCAGAGATGGAAATGTCACTTTGAGTGGTTTATATACTCAGTAGTACCTGGAAGTGGTACTTCTTGAGGATGACTGCTTGAGGGTGAATGTTGGCAAAAGTATTGTGAGGACCCCTTCTGTGTTCCCATTTTTCTAGAAGTTCTTGGCTTTTTTAGAAGACATGACTACTCAAAATGAGCTTAAGGTAATTCTCCGTGGAGCTGCTTGGAAGATTAAAGTGATGCCTATTATTATGAGTGTTTGTACTAGATTAAGGGAAATACGGCCGAGACATTTTGTTCTTTTCTACTTAAGCAGGATGTAAGTAGTTTGAGGAATAATGCTTGAAAAAACGCATTTCCCTCCCATTCTCTTTCTCTCAAGGGATCATTCCTTTGGCATACAGCCAATTCATTTCCTTTAGAGCCAAATCATTTATTCTGAATAAACATTTTTGTCCTGTATGTATATGTATACTCCTACATATCCATGCATGCAATTTTTATAATCTAGAAAAGAAGCTAAAAGAACTTATGCAGACATCTGAGAGTGGGAGGCATTGATTATTAAATGAAGCAATTGAGTCCAGAGTACAAGTAATTGTGTAGAAACATCCATTTTTATAAGAGTTGGATGACACACTGAGCTTGGCTCATGAAAAACATTCTAAAGTCATTTATTTTCTCTCTTTAAAAGATGAATACTTGTTTCAAAGTTCTGCTGGTAGTAGGAGGTCTGTTCTACCCTGGATCCACCACGATGAGGAGATTGACTGTTGGTTGTTGCTCAGCCAGCAGCAGAATAAAGGAGACTTGGTAGAAGTGGGTTTGCTTCAGAGATTTACAGAAGTCTGATTTTTTTTTTTATATGCTTCTTTATGAGTGCATGTACATTATACTATTTGTAAGCAGTGAACAATTTTATAGGGAAGACTTTAATCAGTGATGTGCCACCTCAAGAAAAGGTATTTTTGTTTCATTTTTATAATAATCTTTGTATTTGCTGGAACAAGATTTCAGCCATCCTAAATTCCCAGGAGTCAATCTAGGCCCTATCCTTGTGTATAGACTGCTGCTCTGGGGGAGGGGTGGTGGTGGTGGTGGTGGTGGTCTTTCCCTGTTGTTGCTGTAAGGTCAGCCTCAGTCCCCAGTTTCCTTCTTTAAAAATGGCCTTCAAGCTGCCCTCCAACAGCAGGTGAACTCACCCTGCTGGAGCATGCTTGTTGTGTTTGAGCACTGGTACTCTGAACCAAAACTAAGAAAACCTAGGCACCCCCTGGGAAGGCTTAATCTGTAAATAATGTTACTTCAAACCTCAATAGTGAAGATTAAGCCTTTTTGTGTGTGTGTGTTACAACTTAGAATTTATTTATTTATAATCGTTTTTCTTAGACTTAATATGAAAATCATTGATTTAAAAAAAAAAAAGGAAAGCCTTCTGTTCTTTTTTTGACTACTAATTTTAAGTAGCACTTCAGTGTCTAACAAGGGGATTGCTTTATGTTAATTATTTTTTGATGTGAGCATAATCATGTACAAAATTGGCTTTCATGCACAGTCTTCCATGTGAATTTGTTTCTGAAATCTGAACCTTAGCAGGGAACAAAATAAATCATTACAATCTTCAGAGTTATTATGATCTGATTGTCATAGAACAAAATATCTTGTCATCTCCTCCTGTGTGGCTCTTCCGTATAAGTGTTGCTTTGCATCATTTATTCTGTTATACTTCATTGATTATGTTGCTTCAAAATTGTTATTTATCCAGCCTCACAGTCATTTGAACAAGAAAAGGTAAATATTATGGGCTAAGATCTATTTTAGATTCTTATAAACAAAGCCCTTAAAGCTGTAATTCTAAACTCAAACATCTGGTTACACTGATGACCTCTGGAACAAAATAGATCTAGTTTCTGAATCAAGAAAGAGGAATAAAGTTGAATTTTAAAAATGTATCCACCAAAAGCTGCAGTTCTGACTACCTAGATCTGGAGGAAACTTAGTGAACTGAATTTGTTCTCTCAATTGTATTAGTTTTGACACATATCCAAAGAGATATTTAGGCAATAGTTGGAGATTATACATGTCTGTCAGCTAAATCAAAGATTCAGAGGCTAAATCTACCATTTGGAGGAACATGTAGATCCGTCTAGATGCTGATAAACAGTTTTCTTACAAATGCCTTTAAACTGTACATAATTGTTCTAGTGGTGGCTTTCAGGAAATTATTATTAGAAGGATGGAAGAAATGTTTTATGCAGTGATCTTAAAATTGCATTACAGGGTTTTTAAGTAATTTGTGCCAGGAGCATCTCTTTGGAGATTATATAGGAAAAAGACATTTTACAAGAGAAGAAAGTCATGATTTAAAAAAAAATAATAATAAAAAAATAGTAGACACCCCCATTCTTTTGTAAATTCAATGCAGGTCATAATGCTTAGCTTTACTGCATTGTTATTCTGTGTGTATTTTCTCATTTCAAATCTGTTAAGAGCTGACAAGAGAAGCAAGAGCTGTACCTGCGTGTGTTATTTAGACAGTATGCGCACACACGTCTATATATGCTTGCATGTATGTATGTGTATACATATTTAAGTGGATGCTTTTCAGTTCAGTAATATGAAATACGAAAGGAATTGTAAACTTACAGGTAATTTACAGCTATTATAATTCTGGTTAATATATTCTGAAACAATTTTTTTCTGGCACAGATGGCAACATCATAACTTCATATCTCATTTCTAACCATTGCTGGCTGTTCTTGGGTGTGGGAAGAGGTGATAATTAGGCAAAACTAGCTGTTCACAACATCTTCTTGGAGCTTTGTTGTTATTGATGATAAAAATGGCTTTGGAATAAATTGAAGGTTTTCATTGCAAAATGCCTGTTTTTGTCAGGGCATTTTTTAAAGTAATCTGTACACACAATTATATAATCGATATTTTCAGTACTTATATACAAAGGCTACTCCAAAAGTAATGCCTCCTATTTTGGCATCCATTGACATTCATCAGTGCTTGCTGAATGTTTATGGGGACCAAACAGTGGATGTGAGTGCAGAAAGGTGGTAGATGGTGTGTTTCAGTAGTGGCAAGAGTGGGTCATTTCTGCTTGTGTGGGGAGTTGACAACTTTAAGCCGAGTAATAAATATTAGGCACATCTTGCTATGAGTGCAAGCAGGTATTTGTCTTTGCAGTATGTATAATTCATTTTGCCCTTTCCAGAAAAGGGGAACAAGGCTAGTGAGGGTATTGAAGCAAAAGCTTAATGAGAAGGGGCTGAGAAAACTGGGATTGTTTAGTCTGGAGAAGAGAAGATTCAGGGGAGACGTTATTGCCCTCTCCATCTACCTGAAAGGAGGTTATGGTGAGGTGGGGGTTGGCCTCTCCTCCCACATTAGTGATAGAACAAAAAGGAATGGCCTCAAGTTGCAACAGATAATGTTCAATTCGGATATTAGGAAAAACATATTCTGGTAGGTGGACAGTTGAACTAGAGGATATTAGAGGTCTTTTCAACCTTTTCAAGATTTTATGATTCTGTGATTTCCCATGCTTCCAAAATCAATTTCAGCTAGTAGAACTTTGTTACTTCTGTGTGTGGTTTTTTTTTTTTTTTTTTTTTGATTTTGAATGGGGTAAGGATCTGTCATGCAGGAGAGGGTACAAACACATAGGGAGACCAAAAAGGATCATAGGTGGAATAAAATAGGATGGTGGATTTATCTTGCCAAATGTTGGAAATGTCAAATATACTGTTGTGAATACTTCTACTTCAGTAGATCCCTCTTGTCCACAGTATTTGCTCTTAATTTCCCAAATCTTATCAGCTCCTCAGTGACTTTGCAGCATCCTTCCCTGTCACTTTGCCTGACAAATTAATTGGTGGCTGTTGGTGTGTGTTTTAAGGTATACCTATCCTCTACATTCTCATTGATCTCATGTTGGAAGGAGAAAGGAGAATAGTTCTGAAAGAATTTGGGTCTGGGAACATCAGGAATATTGGCTAATACTTTTCCAAATGCTTTTGTAATAGCATGAAAGTGTCCAAAAGGTCTTATTTACAGCTAACATAGACAAAAGGATTTGAAAATGAAAAGCAACTCCAGCATACTCACAATCAATTCTTGTGTAGATTCAGTAGCCTAAACCTTTGGACATTCAGCTTTGTATTTGACTGTGTCCTTAGCATCTACATTCTGTGTGTGTAATCCAGGGTACTTATGACCCTGTTTTTCAAGGTTTTTGAACTCTGTGTAAAAATATCGAACTTCAAAATGCTTGCTGTTATCAATATTTCCATAAAGGCTGAAGATTTAAAGGAGTGATTTTCCACACCAGCTAGCAGTTGAAATATTTTATGATGTTTTCCACACAGATTTTTTTCCTGTCCCATTTTACATGTGTTTTTCTATTTCAGTTCACTCAGTGGCCCAATCTTCCTGTTTTTGCTGGCCTCCTCACTCAAGTCTGCCTTGAGTTCTTCCCTCTGGTAAGCTTCTGTGAAATTCCTCTTGTAGCCTGTCACTGCCCTGGCAGTGTGATCAGCTGCCGTTTGCTCTTGCTGATGTTGCTTCTTTAATTGGTCAAGCATTCTGCATGCTCCCATTAGAGCTGCTGCAGGTTGTTTTTGGTGGGTGCAACGAGTGGGATGAAATCGCTAACATCTCTGGAGGCAAAGACCATTTTATCTGAGCAGCAGCTTCTGTTTCTAAACCCACAGGATACATATAAGTAGGATTTTTTCATCATGTCAATAGGGTTTTTCCATTCTTAGCCTGTGCAATTCTGATGATTCTTTGTAAGAGTTAGAGCTGGACTGATTCTGCATGCTGATATATCAACCTCTCAAATTTTCACTAATATGCAACCCACTTTTGCTGGTTCTGTGCTGGGTTTGTCAGCTGGTTGGCTTTGATATAGGCAGCTCAAGTTCTAGGGCATTTTCATGCATACAGCTTAAAATGTAGCAGGACTCCTTTACAAGCAAGATACTTTGTTGTGAAGCTCTCTATATCAAAGCAGCTCTTGGGTCTCTCACTGTAGACCTAAAAGAATCTGCAGCACACAAAGGATATTCCTGTGTAGGTCTTGGCAATCTGCAAAAAAGAATGATGCAAATGAATTATTCAATGATTTAAAAAAAAAAAAAAAAGTGTTATGACTATGCTGGAGTGATTAGAAATGTTGTGTCCTGAAAGCTAAACTTAGGACTTTTAGGACTGCACACGTTTCCCAGGAATCCAACATTTTCTGATTCTCTGTAGCTTCTTCATTCTGTTATTTATCAGACACACATTTGCAATAACACATAGGCATACTTCACCTATAATTTGAAAGGGCATCAAAATTTGCTTATGTGGCCAATACTGAGCTGGTAATATTGTGGTCACGTTTTTTCCCCTCCCCAGATTATTATTTGAAGAAGTTAGAACTTAATGTCCAGAATCAGTTTCAAAGAATTTCCCAACAGAAGGAGTTAGAAAAACAAATGCTTTTAAATAGTCAAAATATTTGCTGACATTTCGAAAGTTAGCAAATTGTAGTGTTTTTTATTAAATCACTTTTTTTTTTAGTGAATTTAGATTAAAAAGATTAAAAGAGAAAATTTAACTAAAATACAGTGATTTCTACCTAGAAAATACTATTTATGTGCATTGATAATCAGTTCAAGCAAACACTGAAGTTTTTATTGGCATTCTATTCATGGCAGTCGAAATGCTCAAAGAGATTGTCTCTACTATTCATCTGTACAAACATCATTTCACTGCAGTGTTCACAGACTGATATGTCAGACCTCCTGCTCGTAGCAGACAAGGTTCACTGGCACACGTTTGGCATGGTGGTCCTTTTGTGCTCCCTTCTACAGTGGTTGCATGGTAGCGTGAAAATTTTGCTACAAATATTTCACATAGACAGGATATGGCAGTCAGAGTTATTCAGACAATATGCAGATTGAGCTCTTGGCCTCTTCAGTGAAACTGCTAGCAGAGTGTTAGTTGATGGAGTTTGCTCTGGTGTATTGTGAGAAGTTGATGTGTACTAATGGACAAATGGGACTGTGGCCAAAGTAGAATGCATGGGAGCTGGCAGAAGTCCTTGGTCACTTACCAATATTAAGAAGTTTCAGACTAGTTCTGAGTTTATTACTAACCTCCTTGACCATGTTTCTTGCTTTCTGAAAATTTCAGACCAAAGAGCTGCTCAGCATAAGAGCAGTGTCTTTTCATTAGATCTGTTTGATTTATTGGCTGCCTTTGGAATCTGCCAAAGCCATGGCCCTGAGCACCTGTCAGGCCTCTTGGGCTTGCTCAGGACCTGAGATGTGAATGTTTGCTTTCCCTAAGCAGTATTGCTCTTAGCAGTCCTCTGACCTTATTTATTTAAGTTTTCTCTGAGTCCTCTCAAAAGTTTCTAGATTTTCAGATGTGGTTAGACTGCAGTATTTCCAGTGAATTGATGGTGATTAACAAAGAATATACAATCTTATCCTTTTCTGCTTTAGACTCTGTTCTTACATACAAATGCTTGTCCTCTTCATTTCAGCATTTTTCTAAACAGATTTTGTGTTAATTTGCCCTCCCATTTCTCATTGTGAAGAACTTTTGAGGAAAACTCCAGTTTTTTTTAGTGTATGTGATTAAAATTCTAAGCTGCTTTCCTATCAGCTGTTATCTCTGCAGCAAGGATTAATAAGAAAATAGAAGATATTTGCTACCAACTCAGTATGTCACTCCGGAGAAGGAGTTTTGAACTTGTGATCGGCATCAGATCCCAGCTTCCTGCAAGCGATGTGGGAGCTGCTGCTGCTACACACATTGTGCTGCTGCATGAGTGGGAGGAGATGAAACTTTTGCCATTTCTATGGCATCATTCAGCAAGGTGTAAATGAAGTATGAAATAAAAACTCTCAGCCCACTCAGTGCACAGACAGAAAGAAGACCGTGCTTTATACTTGCTGCTGTGATGAGCTATTTGCTGTAATATTAGCCTTACGTAGTACCAGAATGTTTCCTAAGTTTTAATCCTAAGTCAGAAGAAAAAATGATTTCATGTAGGTTTTCTCCTTTTTCTCCCTTTCCACCAGTGTACTACTGCATGTCAAAGCTGGTGATGCTGTGCAGAGCAGGAATGAGGTAAAAAGGCTGACAAGAAGATCCTTTTCTCGAAGAAATTCTAACTGAATCAGTAGGCATATTTTGCAGTGAGCTTCAGAGTAAAATGATAAAACACCACATATCGAATGCAGCTCCAGATATAAAAACATTTGTTGTCTTCATTTTATTGAGCTCAGCCAGGTGATTTGGAGGGAAAGAGCCATAGGTGGTAATGTATCTGTGCTGTTTAAATTCATTAGCACCAAGGAGTCTGTTTGTGTTGCTAGGTAGCTTATTTGGTACAGTAACAATCTTTGGATGGAAATGCTTTTCAGCCCTGGATTTGCCCCTAGGTCTTGCTGTGATAGCTTAACAAATTGCTATCTACAACTCTGTGAGATCCCATTCATTGTTTTTAAGCCATAAACCAGTGTGTGACAGCCTTCTTTTTATTTTGCTGAAAGTGTTGAGCTTCTGAAGCCTCTGAGCTATATTCTGTGCTGGTGTAAATAATGTAACTTCACTGATGACAATAAAATGGAGCCAGTTTATGCCAGCTGAAACTCAGTCCCTTCAGAAGCAAGTCAGCCCCTAATCTCTGTGCCATTCACACAGAGGCATATATTTCTCTGTGGTTTTTTTTTAATCCTCGCGTGTCCCTTTGTAGAACTAAGTGATCTGTGCTGCAGACAGTGTTGAGGGAGAGAAAGAAATGAGATGGATGCTGATATGAAATGCTGGACCCTCCCTTGTTGTGCCAAAAACTTCTGTGTTGCAGTATTGTTATTTCTCTGTGTTCTACTCTTTTCTTTATATTCCCATCTAAGAAAAACATGGGGATAAAGCCAGCAAACACTGGTGTAGTAGTACAGAAGTGTATATACTGCAGTAATGGGACCTGCAGTGTAGGTTGGTAGGTGACATCTCAAAGCCTAATGGTAGTTGGGGGGCATTCAGTACCACCAATATAGGAGAAGCACAAACAGAAACAGCTGCAGGGCAGTGACCGGAACCTGCGTGGTTCCTGGGCTGCTGCACAAAGGAAAGGTCAGGTAGGAAGGGACACATGGGGTTGGACTTGTGTGCAGATTGGGGTCCCTACTGATTACACTGACTACCACAATGGTGTGGACTCATACCAGTGATGAGCTTTCTGCTGGACTGCGCAGGAGGTAAAGAGATGCACTTCACCTTGCACTGCATTCAGAGTGAATCAGCCTATAGATCAGAGATCTTTGGAAAGGCAGGATAAATTCTGGTAGGAGAGGTTTATATAAATGACATTCTGATTAAAGAAGGGAGCATAAAGGTAAGAAATTACGACCTGCTCCATCCTGCAGCGCTTGCTGGTGATAACGTGCCTATAGGGAAGGCTTTGTGATAAGAAATGAAAACAGCAAGATTCAAAGAAATCGAGACACCTTTGTAATGGCCTGAAGGAAACTGGGTCATTAAAGCAGTTTTCAACTTTTCTTAGGGGCATGGGGAGGACCAGAATAGTGTTCATGCAGTGTTTGTATTAAGTCTTAAGAAGGCCAATCACCCTTTTGGTACACAGAAGTGAATGTCATCCACCTGGAAAAAAGTCTGCAACACAATTGAATGAGCAGAAGATTGGAGGGACATTTGGAAACAGGGCTGCAGAGGTCTTGTGTTGCTTGGTGGAGCTATACATGTTCGCTAATGCAATTTATTACTTAATTTGTTGGGCAATTGTTGGAGAGTGAATTTTCTCTATTTCTGTCCTTTGATAAACTCTGAATAGAAGAAAGTTTCCTCATTGTTACAAATTGAGAGGTGGTGAAAATAAGACTTGCATTGCTGCAAATGAAAGTCAGATACAGGATCAGTGTGTTAGGTGGGTTAAAAAAAATATCTAATTCAGTCTAATCAGAGGCTAGGTGCCACAACAGAAACTGCTTCCTCTAGAGTAAAAATGTCTGTGAAAGCATATTTTAAAGATACCTCATGTGGGATGAATATAGAGCAGGACTTAGATTTGTTCTGTCTGCATCTGTTTGATCACAAAGATAATGCACTGAAATATGCAAGTCCTGGTCAGATGTACCTTTATGAAATAATGCTACATTGCTTTTGTGAGCGAGTTCTAAAACCATATATATTTTGCATAAGAATGAGCCCATGATGATCTTACTCTTTATTTATGGATTCTAATTGCTAACTTAAAAAAGCAAGATATATATATTCACTATTAATTTATAGCTAACTGTTTTACTTCAGAATTATCTGTGAAATTATTACATAGAAATTAAATTCTAAGTATACCTTTTAATTACTAGTGAAAAACAGGGTTCTGATTTATTCTAGGGAACAGTGGATAAACAGCAGAAATTGGTAGAAACCTTTTAAAACTGAATTTTATAATATTTATTGT